ACGTATTCATGGTGATATAGCTGGGATTTGGAAATACAATGACAACGCGTACGTTCCTCTTCTTTCTTTCCTCTTTTTTTATGTTTTTTGTCATTCTATTTTCCACTATTGTCCTCGGTTGGATGGTGTCATGCAACACACAGTCGACTAGGCTTTCGTAGGTGGGAATTGAACATCTACACCTCATTGGAACAAAACTACTTTAAAGGGGAAGTCCACCTTGATAAATATAGCTCGTCTTAACAAAAGAAAAATAACTAGAGCGACAAACTAGTTAACGTTTGAGCAATTGATATCCGATTAAAAGTAGGAAAGTTATGCTTTTTAGAAGTTATCATTAGTAAAACAGTAAAACAGTCGCTATTCAATTCACACGTTAAAAAACTGTGGCGGTTTTTACCGCTCCAAATATTTTGTGAAGATACCATAACTGTTGTACGGAATATCCAATACCGACAGAACTGGAAAAGTATTTTCCAGTTAAATGACCCAATTTTGTCGTCCATCCTAAACGAAGTCATTCAAAAGAAGATAACAAATATCTCGGTACATCTCCAACTCCAGGAACATTGGAATCATCTAAAAATGATCAGATTATTACGACCGGGGAGCATAAAAGAAAAATTATGCGTATCTTCATTTCATTGTCACGGTTGTTTCTACATGATATTGAGGTTAGAAGATGCGGCCCAGCTTTGTGCATTTATACAGGTAAAGACATTTCACCGAAATTAATATTTGACCTGTAGGTCCAGATCAGGGTTTCTTATCGTGAGACAGGTAATAACGTGTTCCAATTTCTGTATTGCAAAGGGATGCAACGGGGCATTTTTTTTATTCCTGGAGGGCGAGGGGTTGGAGGCAAAAATGTCGAAGGAATACAATAGTTAATCATGTACAGAACAATGTAACATATTTCCTAGAAAAAGAATATAAATGTACTTAATTATATAGTTTCGGTATTATGTGGGAGGGAATCAGAGAATAGCGACGGGGAATATTTTGTTCATTGAAGGAGGGGGGGGGGGTTAAATAAGAAATGTCGAAGGAATATAATAGTTCAATACGTACAGAACAATGTAACATATTTCATAGAAAAAGAATATAAATGTACTTAATTAGTATCGGTACTATGTGGGAGGGATTCAGAGAATAGCGACGGGGCATATTTTTTATGGAAGGGGGGGGGGTTGAAATAAGAAATGTCGAAGGAATATAATAGTTCAATACGTACAGAACAATGTAACATATTTCCTATAAAAAATAAAAATGTAATTAATTAGAATCGGCGCTATGTGGGAGGGAATTCAGAGAATAGTGAGTCCTTGCACAAAGGCACATATTCCATATTTTGCAAAATAATTCGTGCAATTATTCCTAAAAATAGTGGAAAGTGACATTGAGTACATCCGGCTGACGACAGATGATTTGTTCTACAAGGAGCTTCCGTTAATCATCCGTATTGTCTTAACATCTTTATATATACATACAAGTATGTATAATTATGTATATAAAACGCGAAAACGGTGAAGCGGAGAAGTTTCATGCTTCTTGATCATTTATTTTTGCATCATCTTATGCCAATACGTGTACTTAATATCGGAAATGGTTATACATACGAAATCGAAAAAGGGGTTTATTTTGTTGATGACACGCCTTTGAAGATCTTTCACATATCTTGCCCACCTATTATTATTGTTACGTCCTTCACCTTTACAACCACTCCAATCAAATGTTAGTTTTATTTATGGGAACCTATAATCTACAAGCTGAGCTTTTTAATAGGTTCTTCATATTTCACCCTGTATAACCTTCTATTCAATACAATCAATTCTGACTTCTTTTCAAAGAATTAATTATATAATGTGACACTTTTAGTATATTTCATATTATGTCTAATGTTGTCAATCATGTGAATTTTTTTGTGAAATATGAAACAAATAAACTTGAAACTTGAAAAACTTGAAACATACAAATTTGCATGTATTTTAATTACAACAGGTGATTAATGGCTTTGCATCTATCAATAATACAATACAATCAATCCTGAACATGTTGAAAGCACAAAGAGTAAATATTGTGTTTATGACCGGTATGACCTCAACTGTATGGTGCTTATTCACGATATAAAATAGTCAGGTTTCCAAATACTTATTATGTACCCTAGAATATTGGAATCCCAATCTCCATGCACATGATTTTTCTTTGATTATTTTCAGCTGAAAATATCGTATCCATATATTGCAATTTTTCTTTCTTGTGCTTTATTCATTTGAAAATTAGATTTGCTGATGAGAAAAAAACGGAGGGATAATATGAAAGGCCCAGAGATGAAATCGCCTGAAGCAACTGAATTCGGGATGCCCCGAGTAGGAAAACCCTAAGACGTTTTATTGAAATGATTCAATTCACTCCAATTGACTCGTCATGCAAAGTAAATACGACATCCCTCCACCAGCAATAAAACGACTCGAATGAACTAGGGACTTATTGAGGGTTTTTCTCTCGACAAACAAAAAAGGGTATGTACCAGAAGAAAAAAACAGCATCGGGATGCATTTTTATTTGGATTCTTAGACTTCGCTCATTGCGGC